GCTGGCGTTTTGTTTGTAATTTAAAGTGAAATCTGTGCGCAGCGTCAAATTAAAATTTAAATGGCAAATGCCGAGGCGGAAGGAAAGAAGGAAGGCGGAAATTCAGGCACCAGGATGCGGCCTCGATCGACTGCATGTGGTTGTGCTTTAATTAGTAGCCAAGGGCGGGCACCACACACCCACACACGCTCACATACCGATGCAACCACCTAGCAGCACCACCCTTGGCCACAAGCCACCCCCACCCCACAATGGGAGAGCGCGATTGCATTTACTGCGATGCAACGCGTTAAATGCACTTGAAGAAATAAGGGAAAATAAACTAAAGCACTAGAAAAAGTTTTATTACATAGAATTTTAACATTAAAAGGATGGCATAACGGTTTTTTTTTAAATGTTTTTATGATTATTTTGGTGTGACTTGTTCAAAAAAAAATTTAATTAATTGTTAATTGTATAAGTTACTTAAAGAAGTCATTTTAAATAAATGTTTCACATTGAAGGAGACAGAAAAATGATTTTGTGGAGCCTTATAATATACTAAATATTCTGAATATATTTGTATATTAGAAACAAATCAGAAAAATAAACTAAATCACTATAAAAAGTTATATAAAAAAGGAAGATTTGACATTAAAAGGATGGCATAAGGGGTTGTTAATGATTTTATAATTATTTTGGTGTCATTAAAAAAAAGATATTAAATTAATTATTAATTGTAACAATTAGATTAAGTAGAACACGTCATTTTAAGAACATGTTTCACATTGAAGGAGACAGAAAAATGATTTTGTGGAACCTTATAATATACTAAATATTTAGAATATATTTATATTTTAGCAAGAAATCAGAAAAATAAACTAAAGCACTAGAAAAAGTTATATTAAAAGGAAGATTTAACATTAAAAGGATGGCATAAAGAATTTTTAATGGTTTTATAATTATTTTGGTGTCAAAAAAAGATATTAAATAAATTATTTATTGTACATGTTACTAGAACAATTCATTAAATAAATGTTTCACATTGAAGGAGACAGAAAAATGGTTGTTTAGAACCTAATATAATACTGAATATTCGGAATATTTTTGTATATTAGAAAGATATCAGAAAAATTAACTGAAACACTATAAAATGTCATATTAAAAGGAAGTTTTTTATGTTAAATATGGTGTCATAAAGGATTCTTAATGGTTTATGATTTTCTTTGGGGTGAATTTATGATAAAAAGGTGTTAAATGAATTATTACTTGTATATCTTGTTCTAGAAAGTCATATTAAACGAATGTTTTCCGTTGAAGGAAACAGAAGAATGCTTTTGTGGAACCATATTATATACTAAATATTCCGAATATATTTGTATGTATATTGGAAAGAAATCAGAAAAATAAACTAAAGCACTAGATAAAGTTATATTAAACGAAAGTTTTTCGATCACCCATTTCACCCATTTCATAAAGAATTCTTAGTGGTTTATGATGTTCTTTGGTGTGAATTTTTAATAAAAAGTTATTAAATGAACTATAAATTGTATATCTTGTTCTAGAAAGTCATGTTAAACAAATGTTTTACCTAGGAGGAGACAGAAAACTGATTTCTAAGGACATAATAATATCCTAACTTTTCTTAATATATATTTATAGTATCAATATCTTTTTAATTTTGAACTTTTTCTGAAAAATATCTTCTCTAAGTAACTGAGACAACTTTTTTTGGTCAGTGTCATCGTAAAGTCCGACCCTTTTAATGAATGTGAGAGTCGCGTTCCATGCTGCGCTGCACCAGCGTCCAGCAGACGCAATTAAGGCTAACCAAGCATTCCGGCCTGGCCCACAACAGACCCAGACTCTATGGAGGGAGGAGCAAGGAGTGGGAGGACCACCTACGCGTGTCTGATAAATTAATAATTTCGGCAATTTCATTTACAAAGGCGAAGGGAGAAGCCTGCAACTTACATCCTTGCTCCAGTGCACCAAATACGGGATGGGAGAGTCGAACGGAAAGTCGATGTAGCAGTTGAAGACCACATGGGAGCCAACTTTGGCCTCCAGATTGGTCTGCCGTCGATGATCGCGGGCGCCGCTGGTACAGGATGCGCCCATTAAGAGCGCCAGAAGAGCGGCTACCGCGGCGGTCAGCCAAAGTGTTCTGCTGCAATTCTCGGGCATTGCAAGCTTTGTGTGTTTGTTTTCTTTTCTTTTTTTTGGGTTTCTGTTTCGAAAAAGAGGCAATTTGGGGTGGAGGAGGATGCACTTGCACTCGGTCACTCTGGCGCGGCGTAGCCTTGCATAATAATCCCCGTTTCCGTGTCGGCGCGAAAATCAAATTAAAAATTCAACCCGAAATCAGGTCAATTGACCCTCAACGAAGGCGCAGAGCGAACTCTCCGCCGGAATCTTGTGAGGCGCACGAAATGCGATGCTTTAGCCTATATACTATATAGATTATATGACTTTTGTGCGCAGTTTGGCTCCGTTTCAATCTATATCTTGCGGATCTCGAGGGGTCGCGAACTGCACAGAGCGGCTGGAGAAGCGCTACTGAAATGCCGAGAACGGAACGCGATCACAGCTGCAGAACGAGTGACAGATGAATGCCGAGCTGAGGCCGAAACCCGATCGCATTTTCTATGCTTTCTGCTCGGTGGAGGGGCTCAGACTGGAAACGCTTCTTTTCTGGGGCTGTCAAACGCTTTTGACATTTGACACACGCCCACGCCGGTTTGTTCTGTGGCTCCTTTTGTCTGGGCCCCCACAATTCGCTTTCGCAGACGTTTATCCACTTAAACAATTAGAGATTGAACTATGCCAGACTTGGGGGGAGCATCGATGGCAGATTCTTGGATTTTTGGTTAGTGTGGGAATACCCTCACCAGGTCATCCATACACTGCGTGTCTTATTTATGCAGAATTTGTGTGAATTTCGTTTCATTTAATTGCGACCAATGTGGCGTATGAGTGATATTTATGTTTCGTGGGCATCAATTAGGCTCAGCTTCCGGGTTGGGCTACACTGGCAGGAAAAGGGGGGAAGACAAAACCACAGATTTATTTGATCAATTTCAAGTTTTTTATTTTTATTCGTTTTTTGTTTGTTTTTTCTTTTTCTTGAATCGTTTTGTTTTGTTTTGTTTTCTTGGGCTTTCATTTTTTGTATTTTTTGTAAGTTTTTATTTGTTTAAAAATTTTGTTCATTTTGCTAATTTTCTCTTTATAATTGTGTGTTTTGTTGTGTTTAATTACAATATATTTCGTTCTAAACTGATTTTGTTTTTTTGTATCCTTGTACGATTTATATATATATATATATATGTATATATATATGCTGAATTGGAGAACTTGCAGTGTGGGAAAAGTCTTGTGGAAAGTGAGGCGAAAGTTGGAAGCTGAAAGATGTGTATGTCCGGGGAAATGACGATTGGAATGGAAGGAGAAAGAGTGGGGGGTGGTGCAAAAAAGAAAATATTCATAGATTTCCCTTTCTTATTATAAGTACTTAATATTTTTTTGTTTTGTTTCCGTTTGATAGTTCCTATTTCCTTTCGTCGAAGAGTTAACTGGCGCACCTTGTCCAAAAATCAAAGTGGCAGACTAAAGCGTTAGATTTACTTAAACTTAGCTTGTAATGTATCCTCTTACGCTTAATGTACATGTGTGTGTGTGTGTGTCCAGTACATATACTCGTATAAATAATCATATATAGATATATATATATATATTTATATATATATGTATCTATTTGCCGTAAAGTCCTGCGCTCTTGCTGTTCTTGCATCGTCAATTAAAATTCAATTTATGCTGTCATTTCTCGCGCTTTTCTAGCTCTGTCTCGCTTTCCATTAATGCTTCTGTTAATTAATTAATTTATTTCGTTCTAGTTTAATGCTTAAAGTGTGTAAGTGTGTGTGTGTGTATCGGAGTGTGTGTGGGTGTTCCTATAAGCAATACAAAAGTCAACTTATTCACTTGAAGAATACCCTCTCAACATTTACAAAATATGCATTTGCAAAACACAACTCGATTTTTTTCGTCTCTTCTAGCGTCTATTTAAATACGATTTAATTTACTCAGTTATCGGAAATTGGAAATTAATTATCGGAAATTGGAAATGAGTTATCGGAAGAGTCAAAATTGGGTTCAGTAGTTCGCAGCTGCCGAAGGCTAAGAGAAATGCTTTGAGATCATTGAGTCGGATTCGTAGTTGATTTCTTCTTGTTCTGATTTGTTTCGCGCTCAAACCCTCCCCTGAAATAGTGTTATCGTTAATCGTTAATCGTTATCATTATTATCCGTAAGTAGTATTATATATAGTATTATAGTTGTATATATGCTCTGTAATTTACACATACGTTATACACACTCTTGCGGTCGTCACGCATCTCTCGCTCTGGCAGTGTTTTGGCGTCAAGTTGTGTCAAACCATCTCATTCCGTACAATTTGATCGTTTATCGTTAATCAATTTATCGTTTTATCGCTTTATCGTTTTAATCGTTTTAATCGTTTAACAAGTACTTAAAAAACCGAACGCGTTGCGGCGCTGTTCCTTACACAACTGACCGATATATAACCTAGACCAATCAATATACCATTCTCTATATATGTATGTATGTATGTGGGGGAAACCCAGGAAACTGTTTGGGGATGGGGGATCGATAAGGGATCGTGTCCGGGATCCTTCTCTCCTCTAATATTCCTAGCTTATTCATTGACGTAGTCTTGGGCTGTGTTGGAAAGAATAGTTCTCTTATCGCCTCGCTTTTATTTGGTTTTCCGTCGATTTTTGCTTTGATTGGTTTTTGTTTTCCTTTACTTTTTGGGTTAATAAATATTAATTAGTTAATTATCGTGTGTGTGTGTGTGTTTTGTATGTGTGTGTAGGTCAACAGTAAACATATATGCAGCAGTTATATTTCTTTTAAATTTTTCATTAAACTGGTTTTCGTTTTTATTCTTTTGTAGGTTTTTTTCTTGTCGTTAAATAATTTAATTATGAAACAATTTCTCTATATGTTTTTTTCGTTTTCATTTTTGTTTTCTTTAATTACGTTTTCTGCGCTTTATTAGTTGTTAACAACTAAATGCTTAATGTCTAGCATATTCCGTATTAACTTTAGTTTTAGTTTAGTTTTTCGTAATGAACATAATTTAGGCTTACGCACTGTGGATTTCGTTAATTTAATGTTTAATGCTCCAACACGAGTGTTAAATAATATCTATTTGTAATTGGTAATTTGTTCATTTGCTTTCGTTAAATATCCATTTATCGATTTCTGTAATAATATGTTGCTATAATTGCTATAGTTTTGTTTAAATATTATGCTTAAACTTGTGGGAATGGTGCATCCCCTTGCAATATATGTACACAGCTCTCCCTCCTCGTTCTCCATCTAAATCTACTAATTGTTTCTTGGGGGTACTTGGGGTGATGGGGTCTTGCAGGGTCCAAACTTTTTAAGTTCCTCTCCGAATGCGGGGGCCTGATCCAGTGTCTACGAGTATCATGTGTCGCCTCCAACTCTCTACCTCTGTGGGTAACGCGTTGCCAATTGAAGCACAAAAGCTTTGCGGATGTGCACCTGGGAGTGGCTCCTGGTTATCCCAATTAAACGCTTCAATGGCTCAACAGACGCTCTCCATTTGCTGCATGGCCTGGCGCTTGCGATAGGCATAGAACTCCTCCCGCATGGCCTGAAGCCTCACCTCCACGTTGTCGTATCGCGTCGGCAGGTGAAGGGGCAGGGATCTGGCCTTGCCTCCTCCCCTACCCCCCGAGCTGGAGTAGGGGGCGTGGCTGTGCAACAGACTCCCACTCAGCGGACCCAGTGTGTGATGATGATGATGGTGATAGGGATGGAATGGATGCAACTGCGTGTCTATATGCAGATTGAGATCTTCTCGCAGCATGCTGGAGGCACTGGGCGTGGGCGTGGCTGGGTCGAACTCATAGTGACCATCCACGCTGCCCACATCCACGGGACAGACGGCGCCGGCCTTGGGCAGGTTGCTATCGGTGGCCGCATTCAGTCTTGAGATCATCTCCAGCCAATGGGCCATTGTATAGGGCGGAGTGTTGGCCCTCGGATAGGAGTAGGCGGCGGCGGCATGGGGCGTCTGTCCCTGAGCCTGTTGGCCTCCCGGTGGCTGTGAGGCACCAAAGTAACCCAGGTGCTTGGGCGGCGATGGTGGGGCCCTGTAGGGCGGCAATAGACGCCACTCACTGGTGCTGCCCGGATGGTTGGAGGTGTTCTTTGACCCAAAGCCACTCGAGCTGGAACGGGACTCGGGTGAGGCCTCCAGGCCGCCAGGATTCATGGAGAGACCGCTGCGCAGTGGCAGGTTAAGATCTGGCAGCGGGGAGAGCAGCTCGTGCTGATGCTGCTGGCGGCTGCCAAAGAGACGCGAATGATGCCGCGGATACCAGCGAGTGCGAGGCCGATAGCTGTGATACGGCAGCTGGGCCTGAGCCTGGTAGTAGCTCCTCCAAGATGGCGGTGAGGGAAGCTGCAGCGGCACAAAGTGCTCCTCGAGGGGATGGTGTTGCTGCTGTTGCTGCTGCTGCTGCTGCTGTCGGCGGGTCTCCTCCTGGATGGTTCTCAAAGAGGGCAACTCCTGGGAGTAATAGCGATACCTGCTGCTCAGGTTGTGCGTTGACGTGGAGCGTTCAGCAGAGTTGGGGGATACACGGTGCTCAGGTCGCTAAAGTGCGTGGGATAGGTGCCACTCCCACTGCTGCTGAGCAGAAGATGTTGCTGTTGCTGCTGATGCTGGAGGTGGCTCAGATGCTGATGCTGCTGCTGCTGCGGGGAGCTGGAAAAGATGCGTGAGATCCTGGATGGTGTGTACTGCTGCTGGCTGAGACTCCCGCTGATGGTGTTGATGTGCAGCGGCCTGCTCCGATCCGCGTTTCCATAGAGATTGTGGGAACTGCTGCTGGCATAGGGTCGCAGGACATTCTGATAGCGGGCTCCACTCACAGCTGCCTCGTCAAAGTAGGGCTGCTTGGCCACGCCCCCGATCTTGAGCAGACCCTGAAGGAAGCCTCGGGCCGAGTCTGCCGCCGACTGGAGACTCAACTGGCTGGAGGAGGCCACCAGGGGACGCCGCCAGGAGGCTCGTGCTGTGATAAAGTTCCTGCGCGAGAGGAAACCCCCATCGTCGCTGGAGGATTTCTGTGAGACATTGCTGTTCCGCCGCTCAAAGAGGCCACCGTCCACCACATCCACCGCAGCATCCAGGGTGGTTTGGGAGTAGCCCAGCTTGGAACCATCCACATCCAGCACAAAGCGTCCATCGAGGCTGCGTTGGATGCGACTCACAGAGCGTCGCCGGCCGCCCTCAGCCCCGTCCTCGAGATTCGGTGAGCTGTAGATGGAATGGCAGTTGGTGCACCGATCCGGCGGCCAGATCCAATGGAGTATGGCAATGAGTATGGCGGTTAGACTTGATATTCGGGTTTGTTTGTACCTGCGAAGGAGTTGGAATACCATTAGAAAGGTCATCTAACTAAAGAACAAATCATAACTTCCAGGAAAATAAAAGAAAAGTATAAAAGACAAGAAAACTTTAACTCAAACATGGCTCAGGCACCTAATTAAACTGAAACTTGAAAAATCACTTAACTGAAACTCAGCCAAACTCAAACTAAACTCAAAGAAAATGTCTCAGAAAACTTTATTAAAAAAAGTTGAAGGAGTTTTGCTTACGATTTTGATTATGACAGGATGGACCTGGAACTATAAAAACGCTTTCATAATCACGGTAATGTTCAGTATTGCTATAGTTTTGGAGAGCGATATAGAAGATCAGTGGTTGGTGGTTGGTGGTTGGTTGGTGGTGCATATATGGCGTTGTTGGGCCAATTGAGAGTGAAATATGGGATAGACATAGATATACACAATAGATGACAGCGCATTACAGGAGATATAGGAGAATTTTGGTATCCAATTAGCTCGGAAATTATCCCACTATTCGAGATATATGTGATGGATGATACTCACTTTTTTAAAGGCACTTGACCAGAGGAAATTGAGCCCGTACTGCGATTGTGCAAATGATGATTATTGGCGGCAATGTTACGAGCGTCCGTTATCCTGCAAGCTACCATGTTGAACTCTGTAAACGTATAATTTCTACAATTAATTTGGCGTGCAGCGTGAGCCGTCCTATCCGGTAAATAAAATACCCTTTAAACACACACTCTCCATATGCACACACACTGAGTTACATACGCGCGCGGTCGGGCTCGAATGTGTATGAATGTATGCTAAATGTATATGCATATGTATCTACGGTGCTCTCTACATATAGACGTATATATATATATATAGAAATATATATAGAAATATATATAAATGCGATTACTCTGGGTCAAAATTTGGTTTAAATTGAGGACAAAAGTGGCATAACGCGGATGTTTCTCGGTTGTTTGTCGAGGGCGTGCCCCTAAATTGAGGTTATATGCACAGGGAGAAAAGGCGGTGTATCTTTTAATATAGATTTCTCTTTCAAGTTTGATTTAAATCTGTTTTAAGTTTAATTATAAGATTAAATTTGTTGATTTTATAACACAAACGAAGCCTTAAAGCAGCGTTAATGCTGTATAAAAGCCTTCCTTTACCTCTAGCATACTTTGTTTAGCTTTGTTTAGTCTTAAATTTTATTAACTTTTATATTAAAGTTATTAATTACCTATTACTCTACCTTCTTTTCTTTCTGTGCACACCTGGGTTATGCCAATTTGCATGCCAGCATAGTCAGACTAAACACACACTCCCTGCTTTTCATCGCTAATAAGTTTAGATTGTTTAGATTTGAGCAGTAACTAACTAGCAGCTATTACTAGAGGACACACACACACACACACCAGTTAGCATTAAATAGTCGCCAGTTAGCAGTTACAAGTTAACAGTTGCCATTTACCAGTTTAGCAGTTAGATGACTACAACTAAAGCTACGTTGTTGTTAGTTTTGTTTCACTTGATTACGCTTGCAATTACATGTATGCGGGGCCAATTAGTGTTTCAGGCTAATTTGGCCATTCAGAGGGACATACGGGGGGATACGGATATATAGTCAGTGGAAGGACAATGCTAAATCGAAACTTAATGCTTCCTCTCATCGATGACAGACACACACTCACACACACACAATTGGGGCTGTCTTGACCCCACACCCACACCCACAAGGTCGATATACATACGGCTATATGCGGAAAGCTAAGTATATGTATATGTATATATTTCATATACCACAAACACACAACACACACTCTTCGAGGTGGCACGTAGTAGATATGTATGTAGTACATGCAGTACCGTGTGTGCTCTTCGCAGTATTTTATTCAGGATCTGGCTTCGAATGGTTTGGAAAAACAATGACACGTGAAATGGCTTTTGAATGGTCAAGTTGCGAATTGTGCCAACGGAAAACATATAGAGAATATAGAGAACGGAACTGAACACAAGTTGAATGCAAATCGAAAACCAAATGTATTTGCTGATTATGGGAATTATGCAAACCGATAAACGATAACTGAAATGGGCCAAAAAGAAAAGGAAGCGGAAACAACATAAAAGTTGAGCCTCAACAAGCTCTAAAGTGATTCTCTCGCAAAAAACAAAGGAAAGGTGTGTTGAGAGAGTATTTTTGCTTTTGTGTGGTGGGTGGTGGGTGGTGGTGTTTTGTGTGTGTTTTTTCGAGGTAATTATGAGTCTGTGAAGTGCTTGAGATACTCGAGAAAGTGCGGCTTAAAACGGCACTGATTGACGAAGACGAAATAACCGACAGATTGCGGATTGTTAGTGGAATGCGGATGCTTAATCGATGATGCACAGAGACGAGTGGTGGTTCAGGTGGTTTCTTGTGGTGGTGTCAAAGTGTTGGTTAGGTGGATGGTACTTGGTACTTGGTTAGGTGGTTTGGGTTTGAAGGAGACTCGTCTGAAAATAACCTTTAGTTTTGTATTTTGTTTTTTGTCAGTACTCAGGATCTGTGGCACACGACATCGACTTATAATGATTGGCAAAAACTTACCCTTTGCTAGCACACCGATCGATGTTGGGGTCTTAGTGGGGGCTTCTACTTAATATCTTTTGTATTTTACTTTAATTTCGATTGCTTTTGGAAGCCACTTGGCTGACCAACTCGGACTCCTTATTGATTTGCATTTGGTAATTTCAAGGAGTCCCTGAAGTTGGGCAACCAAGGACGTCACAGGATAACCGATCAATTGGCGACACGATCATTTAAGCTCTGCATATATCGCTCTATCGACATTTGTGGTTTTGTGGGCCTTATTTTCAATATATATTTTACCATCTTTGTGCGTGAATTGTTTACAAAAAACGTCTGCCCAGTATTATGCTATATAAATGGTCATCAGCCATTTATATAGTTCGATTCGGTTCTCTTAATTGCAAATACCTTTATCTGACATGAACTCAGCCCTGGGCAGAAACAACGACGATTTGGCCAAGAACATGCTTTTCAATTGGTTCGGTGATAAAGGTATTTTCTTCCTCACTCTTCTCACTTTCTATCGTTATCATTATTGTCGTTATTGATAATAAAAACTCAACATTACTAAGAGAACAATGTGGCTGTTCTACTGTAGAATATTTACATAATATTTTCCAGTTAATGGCCTACATTGATTTTTTAACAAAAGTTCGCAATTTCCCTGCTCTTGTGTTGTGTTTTAAGGGCGTGTTGCGGGCAAGGGGGTCGGGGTTTCTCGTAAAGAATACATAAATAATTGATTTAAACAACGCAACATTAATTAATCCACTTAAATAAAATACGATTGAAAGCAGAAACCAAAAAAAAACCATAACAAAAGGCAAAACAGAGACAGAGAGAGGTTCGATATATAGAGGCACGGCGGTACAGGTACAGAGTTCGGTTTGGTCCAGTTAAGTCCGGTTGGGATTCGATTCAATTCGATTCGATTCGATTCGATTCGAGCCTCGAATAATGAATGTCCTGGCACGACTCCTGAACGTGGCATTTCAATTTCCGCTCTACTTCGCACTGGAGTTTCAAAAGGAGGACAGGCAGAGGCAACGCTTAATGCTTAACTAAAGTGGCAAATACTAGTTGTAGTTTGTAGTATCAATAGTTTACTCATACGATGTTCATGCTTTGAGTTCCAATTCGAAAATAAACAGGCTGCAAAGCGCTATATGTTTAGGAAGCCAGATTGATACAAAGATACAGACAGGCAAAGGCTCCAATGATACCAAAGTAAAAGTAACCAAAGGTTTAAGTAATGGGGCGGGGGCAAACACAAAATGTATAATTGCAGGACTCTCATGATGGCCGATTTTCAACTAAGATCTTTCGTTTTATCTACGCGGAAGGAGGGCAGGGACCACGAGCAAGGACCACAGATAGAAGTGGGGGGCAGGGGTGGAACTCAAAGAAATCAGAAACAGAATCAGAAACCGAAAGGAAGAAGGATAACCAAATGAAGGAAAGCAAACCGAAATCCAATTAGTATGTAAATATAATTTTTATATATATATACAGAGATTTTGAAGCAACTTTTCTTTCTTGCCAAATTGTAACTCAATTTTACTTGCACAACTACAACGAAAACGTACAAATCATCATACTCTCGCAGACAGGCATAACTTATGAAGAGACTTTCATATATATTTATGCGAAAATTTCGTCACAAAGAAATATATTTAGTATATATTTTAAAAACGATTTCAAATGCAAATTCCAATGTGCTGTTGTTGTTGTCGCTGAACAAACCAATGGGAACGAAGGAAGAGGTCCTTTTTATTCGCAAAAAGAAGTCAAAATCAAAAGGCGGCAAGCCTAGGCAGAACTCATAAAATCACAGCAATTAACCAAAACACCTTATAAAAATAAGATGCATAACGCCCAAACCCTTGAATTTGGCATTACACATCTATGACATTATAATGTCTTTAAATTAGTAATTAATAATTATCGCTTATCACTTATTGGGTATTGTAAATTAGTTTTAGAAATAGCTACCGATAATTTGAGTGGCTTGCGCTGTTAGAAGAAGTTTACTACATTTAACTAGTTTGCTAGTTTGGTCCTCAAGGGTTAAACGGTTATCGTTAGGGTTAATCGATTCAGGGTTCAGACATTGCGTTCATCGCCAACAACAAGAACATTGTCATCGTCATCGATAACAAAGAAAAAAAAACGATTATTACGATTATTACGATTAGTATGCTACAAGTATTTGTTATCGCACGGTTCGGATCATCGTTAGGCAGTGTGGCATTTATAATCATTAACATTATATTAAATATCATTTGTGATTTTGTCATCAAAAACCATTTCAAGTGTGTGTGTTAGCTTTTGGCCTCAGTGTTACCTTTTTCCTGTTTTCGTCGTTTACGTTTATTGCAAATTTTTACGGCACAAACCGATAAAATGATCGCAACAATAAAAAACAGGATGCCCCCAACGACGCCGGCGGTAATCGCCTTGTGCTTGACACGTGCCGGCACCGGGAACTTCACCTCGTCGCTGGACTCATACGACTTCTCCGAGTTGGCCAGCACCCGGAAGTAGTAGGTGCGTCCTCCAACGAGATTCTTCACCAGATATTGTGTCTCCTCCGGCCGGATCTGGCCCCGGTTAAGGGTCTTCCACTGGGCATCCGTTCGATACTTGATGGTATAGAACTTGACGATGTGCGCCCGTTCCAGCGGCGATTGCCACGTGATGAGGAATCCATTGGACACCTCGGTCACGGACACATTCCTCGGGGGGCCAGGTTTGGGACCTGTTTCAAGAAAAAAGGAACCATTAGTACTACGCAAGGGTGACAAGGTGTAGGGATCCAGGGATGCGGGTATTTGTCCTGCCTTGTTTTCCAGCCAGCCAGGAATTTAAGTCCCACACAACGACAAAAAAATATAATAAATATGTAAATACAAAGGTAAAATCCGATGCATACACCGAAAATAATTATTGTGGGGCTTAACAATTGCAAATTTATCAATATAATTCATGTTTCATTGAATGGCCAAAGATAACATTACCACAATGAAACCAATAAATTTTGTTTCGATTGAAGATAATCCCCGGATTTTTCAATATTTATTTTCGTTTTCCAGTGTACGCTGGTCGTGTTTGGCTAAATCGTTTGCATTATTTTTGATTTATTTGCATTTCATTTTATGCTTTTGTTTATTTGCGCGCGGGATTTTCCACTGCCCTATTTTTTATTACCTTTTCCCATAGCTGCTAACCTTCCCTGGTTCAATTTCCCAGCCTCATTCTAATTTAAATGGGATTATTTATTGCTCAACAGAAAGGGAAATACTCAAATTCTATGATTTATATTGTTGCTTTTTACTTTCAGCAATTCACAGGACATGCATAACAAACTGTCAACTGAACTTCAAAAGGATATATTTCAATAAAAAGTAAGTAAAGTAAAAGTTTTGAAAGTTTTCTTTATTTTCTCTCTCTCTTTTAATATATATTTCCCAGTGCAGGTTTGAAAGAGCAAACCTTCAACCTTCTTGGTTTTTAGATTTGATTTTATTTATTTCATGCTTTCTCTTTTTTTTTGCTTTTCGCTTAAAAGCTTTATGAAAATTCCATTTGGCTTTTTGCAACTCTCTTTCAAACCTTTTTCCATTTTTTATTCTTTCCTTTTTTTTGGCATGCATTTATTCATGACAACGACGAGAGGAGCAGGATTGACAAAAAACACATTTTAATTAGCATACACACATAAAACTTTCCGTTTTTCGTAATTCGCTTTTCGCATTTGAATATTTGTGGGCTTCCGCTTCCGTTTCGCTTTCGAAAAGGACGATAAAAAACATACAGGATAGGCATAGATAACCTGAATTCTAGGAACCTTATGGTTCTCTCTGGCTTGATGCAATTAAGTGTCTTGGTCGTCTCCTGGGATTGGGTTTTGAGTCCGGATTCCGGAATGCAAATTAAAATGATGCAAATATGTGATGTAAATGGAACCCCAATTCACTCCTCCTTATGAAATTTTGAACAGCATTTAAAACGATGTGTGTGTGGTGTCAAGTGTGGGTGAGTATCTGTATCTAAGTATCTGAGTATCTGAGTATCTGCTTGCGAGCTTAGATTATGAACTGCTGACGGTGCGAATGCGAGGATATTACAATTTCCGGTGGCAAGAGCTGCGGCAATAAGTGCAAGCCATTTATCATCACGATGATGATGATGATGATGATGATGATGAAGCTAACGAAAAATGCCACGCTCATTATGTATGTATGTATGTTAATTAAAAATGGTTTTAAAGAGCCCTCGCGGGATTTGAAAGCGCAGCAGTAGCAGTAGCAGTAGCAGTAGCATCATCCTTCAGCGCATATATCAAAAGTTGATTATGCGATTGTGGCGGGTGGGAGGGCAGGCAGGCAACCCTTTAATCCACGGCCCGCATAAAAAATGTGAGCAGATTTGACATAACATAAACGAGACAAGTGACAAGCATAAAAAAACATAAAAACAGAAGCAAAATGGCCCGGGAAAGCGGCAGGAAAAGCGCAGGCCAGAGGCCTAAATGAGATGGGTAGACAACACAGACGGACGGACGGACGGACTGTAAAAATGTCAAGGGTAGACGGCAGGGTACACAAAGTCCTGGCAAGGGTACACGGTTGTGAGTGTCGTCGCACGGTTAAATGTTATTTATGGCTGCAGCAAGGACCCTGCCAGGACTCTCCTTTTTCAGGGGGTAGAGGAGGTGTGAATCTGCAGTCGCCAGCTTGCAAGTAATACTTAAAAATGAGTGCAAGGCAGGACACGGAACTTGGGACTTGGGAGATTATATGGGTATTAAGTTGTATGTTTAATGTAAGTGATTTTATGATTCCGATACGAGTACCTTTGACTCTCAGCTGGGGCGGTGAGTAAACTAAACGGCCGCCCGAGTCGGTGTGAAAGTAAATGTCAAAATAGGCTAAGAGGTCTGCAAATAAAACGGCAACGAACGCAAGAAATTCAAATCAAATTCAAATCTGTTGTAAATAAATATTTATGCATTAAAACTAAAAGTGTGTGTGTTGTGTGTTGTGCAAGTGCAAAAGAGAAGTGAAGTGAGTGGAAGGAGTGAAGGAGTGCAAACCAAAGTACCGAAGGGTGTACTAACTACAGAGCAAGGTCAGTCAGTCGGCCCTTTCGCTAGAGAGCTTTTTATCGATTAGTTTTCCTTCGATCGAATGCAAATTCCGCAGCGACTTGAAAAAAAAACCTGACACGGCCTCAGAGCTCTCGGGGCCTCTAGTAATTATGACAGTGAAAAATGCATTGAATATTCATAAGTGCACACGCACACACAGTGGAGAGTGTGTGTGTGTTTTCTCGTTTATAATCAGCCTTGACATGCATTTTCTTTTCGGTTAGTTTTCACTTGATTTTTTTTTTGTGGGGTATGATGCCTGCTCAGGGAAATGGGTTTTATAAGTTGGAAGTTCCTTATTATATTCTCTATTCTCCAGAGAAGCTGAGTCTTAAAGTTGATTACTCTTCAGTTTTTGTGAATTTAAAATTTCTATAAATAAATTAGGTCTAGAATAAAAAGGATCTTGATTGCCTCTTCTAACCACAAACATTTCCGAGGAAGCTTTTAAAGAAAATTATTTAATACAAGCATTTCATTCGGATCAAAGAACTTAACTTGTTTTCATTGGGTAAAATAGTTTATACTAATTTGGATTAAAGAACCAAAACTTCTATCATTGGGATGATAATGAATTATAGAAGATAGATAGAAATAATGATAATGAATAACAATATAATAATAATGAATAATAAAATTTATATTATTATTCATTATTATTATATTAGCGTTCATCTTTGACTAAAAACGAAAAATCAGAGACGTAATCCTTATAGAGTTAATCGCATAAACTAAACCCTAAAATTTTTGAAATTATTTTATGTTTAAACCTTTGAATTTTGTATCCAAGCTTTGATTTTTCTTAAATTATACTTCTTTTTTTAAATCCTGTATACTAAAGGGTATTTCCTGTTCCAATCAAAATGTTGCTCCTTCTTCCACTTGCTTTATTTTCCCCCGAATGTCAGCGCTGAAAATTGTTGCAACTGTTGAAGCCAGAGTGCGCTTCATGCCTTGCAGCTTGCATTGTTGTTATTAATTTTTAAGCGCTGCCAGGGAAAGCAGCAGCAGCAGCAGCATGCAACACCCCCTCCAAGGGGGGAGGGGGCAGGACTGAGGGGGAGGAGCTGCTGCCGCGGTGGCATACGTGGCGTATGGAAATTGCTTGACATAAACAAATGCGCGCACGTGTGACAGCAGAAAGGGGTTTGGGTTTACCGTTGATGTTTTATGCAGGATTTAAGGAAATAAAAAAAGAGACTTTATATATAATATGGGAAAATAATATGAGAAAAAGAGAAACTTAAATGAAACACAATTTCTGCGAGGCATTTGGCTGCTGTTCTGCTGAGAATGAAAATGAGAAGGCAGCAAAGGCGGCGGTGTCTGTAGTGGGCGGATGGACGGTGGGATGGCTGGGGGGTGGCATTGGATGGTTTTTCTTTTTTTCTTTTTTTTTCGTTGAAGGTGTTTCGTTACAAGCGCCAAAAAAAGGTACACAACACGTACACGAATATCCAGGGTTGCATTACACAACAACGGCGCACATTTGCCGCCAGAGTTGCCGCCTGTCGTTGCATATTTTATTTATTTATTTTTTGTTTCTTGTTTTTGTTTCTTGTTTTTGTTGGTAACTGTTTTATCCTGTTTTTGTTGTTGTTTTTGCTGTTATTTTGTAGCTGTTTCTGTGTTTTTCCCCCTCGATTTTTGAAGCTACGCGTGCGCCAAAAACACGTATACGCACTGTTACACACGCACACCCAAGCACACTCGCACGCACACCAATGCAACCAAATTAAATACGCTAAATGGGGGAAACATTTATTTGTGTGTGTGTGTGGGGGGGGGGGTATATACTAAACTAACACACACACACACACACGAGGGAAAGAGAAAGAGCAAGAGCAAGAGCAAGAGCGAGCAAGAGAACGAGGATAAAATTAACTATTATCGCAAAGCGGTTGGAAAAACACGCGGCAACGTCGACAAAGGCATTCAAATTGCCGCACCTACAGCGCCCACAAGAAGCGCGGGGGAGGAGGCGGGGTTGCAAGGATGTGGCAGGAGGCAAAACGCTTGTTAAATGTGCCTCGGCATTTGGTAATATGCTTGTTTAAATTACACCGCCCTCGTGGGCGTTGTCATATCGACCGCACCAAACACACACACACACACACACACAACCTGCCAGAAGACACGGCAGGTGAACGAGCGAAAACGTTGCTGTGCCACAATTGTAAAAACAGTTCAATTAATTTAAATAATTAAATGTGGGACAAACTGTTTTAATTACGCACGCACAGGCACAAGGTACACGAAACACGGATCTGTTGTAATTCCCGGCCAGAGACCGAGAGAGGATAAAGGACACCATGTCCTCATGTCCTCATGTGGCGCAAATTATGGCCCGTGGGAAATGGTGCGTATTTGGGGCGTGTGTGTTTGGGTGTGTGTGTAGCTTTGGCAGCCAATAACCAGTCTGGAACAAGAATATATATAGTAGAAAAGCAGACGAGCGTCGCTATAATTGGCTTGAATATTTAATTGTTGGCCTCTTTCCTACCATATTGAATTCATTGGGGATTGTGGAATGTGAAACTAAGTAGAGGAGGAAGGATGCCGGTTCAAATTTAAAATAAATTCAGCTATTTACAGCTAGCCAGCTAAATTCTAGACTCATGCAATCTAGGGGAAGAGGGGCTTTATAAGGTGTCAGGTGCTTTCATAATCTTCTTAATTCTTAACTCCTAATCACTTAAAAAAACTATATTCAGCTATACAATCAATCATGCAGCAAGGTGGTGTGTACTTTTAAAAAAATACATTTTAAATTTAGAATACTTAAAAAAACATAAGAGGACTTTAATTGTTAATAATCAGTGTAAAAATCAAAGATAAAAGTTGTTCGTATGCAAAAATATAACATTTTCGATAGTTTTATCGCTGAATCATATTCGATTATTTTATCGATAAATCATATCGAATTTTTCCCCCCTCGATATATGTACATCTCCTACATCACTCAATCTAACTTTTAGGATCAGGTAAACACAACAAAAAAAGGCCAGAAAACGCGGGCGCAGCAACAAAATAATGCAAAGGATAATGCCTCTCAGGACTCTTGGCAGGCTCAGCCTGCGCTGAGCCTTCCTTTAAACAGTTAATTCCTTGAGCGTCGACTTACAATTCAACATTACAACTATGCTTGCTGGGGGGTTTTTCTTTTCTTTTTTTTTTTTTGTTTTTTTCTTTTTGGGAGGAAGGATACAAGGGAGACTTGAGGGTTCGGTTCTCTTACCAGCTTCGTCTGGCATTAGCTGAAAGAATGAGTCGGGCGGTTGTGTTGCAGCCTTGACATTACGTGGCGCTGCCGGAGCGTCTTCTAGTGAACCCGAATTTTCCGTTGGTTTGGATTTCCCAGGAAAAATTCGTGGTCATTGGCATTTTGCATTTGATTTTTTGCGCGGCGCATGATTAGTATGAGAAAGTTAAGAGATCGAGTAGCGTTTTGTTTTTTATATTGTTTCGATGAAGGTCGGTGAGGAAAAAGAGAAGAAAACGAGAGAAAACAAGAGAGCGTTATGTTAGAGCCAATCCAGATCAGTTGTGCAGAGGATTTTTCATGATTTCATAAATATTTATATATAATATATAGTATGTGCCGGGGAGCGACTGCAGCAAGAACCCAAAAATAATAGGAGAGCAAGCGAACGGAAAAAGGGAGAAACATATAGGGAACACTAGGATCCTGAGAACTTACCCAGAGTGCGCACGGTCATCACTTTACTCATCATTCCATCGCCCAGGACATTCCTGCCCACCACCTGGAATTCGTAGGTGGTTCCCGAAGCCAGTCCATTGATCGTCACCAGAGTACTGCCCGAGGGCGTCACAGAGATCGTCTGCCAGTCGTTGACTCCAGCCTCCCTGAACCAGATCGTATAATCCTGCTTGTACTCGGAGCCACCGCTATATCCTGGCAACCACTGGAGTGTGATGGAGGACTCGGTGGCCTTGCCGGTGATATTGTATGGGGCATGTGGCTGTGTGCCCTCGATCACCAGCTGGGTGACGGCCATCAGGGTGGCCACCTCATTGGAGACCACACACTGGTAGTAGCCAAAGTCCTCCCGTCGCAGATTCTCGATCGTTATGTTACCACCGGAGATCTTGATGCGATTGCGTTGCGTCTCCGACAGCTGCTCGCCCTCCTGACGCTGCCACTTGATTGTGGGACGCTCGGTGCCCTCCGCCTCGAGGGCGTCGCAGTGCATCTCGACGCTGTCGCCCACCTTCCGCTGGTAGAGCGTCTCCGGCTCTGCCGTGAAGACGGGCGGTTTCCTAACGAGGACATCCATTATCCCTGAGGCGCCAGCCGTGCCCTGGGCATTGTAGGGTGTACAGGAGTACTGACCCTGATGCTCCTCATTCACGCGGGTAAACAGCAGCGAACCATTGGCCATCACCACAATGTCCTTCATCTGGTAGGGTTCCAGCAGGCGTTTGTCCTTTGTCCAGGTGACATACTGAAGCTGGGGGCTGGACTTGATGTAGCACTGGACCACGCCGGCCAGCTTAAAGGGTAGATATTGCACCGTGGGCGTAAAAGTGACCTTGGCGGGGTCTGTCAAAGGAGAAATTGATTGATTAGTCATGGTTTTATGGAATATAACCTAATCGAGTGAGTGTTTGTGGCCAATTCAGTTCCATTTAAATACTTAATTCCCATGAATGATGCCATAAAAGCCTTTTAAATTGACAGCTATTGATTATGACTAAACTAAATGCTAACTAGAGTGCATAGAATCGACACTCATTAAACTATTAGTGGCAACTAATTTGATTACGTTTTAGGCCAGTGCCCGTGATTATTCCATTAGTTTATGTCGCTATTTATATTATATCAATTCAAAGAGTTTAGAAACGTTTTCTAGACATAAAATTAGGTATGTTTTATGTTCTAAGCTAACTTTAGTTGTGAATTTATGGAATTATTAATGTAATACTCACATTCAACGCTGAGATAGGCGGAGGCGCTCTGCGGATCCCCAATGCCGTTGGTCACCTCGCACAGATACTGTCCCGAATCGTCCGGCTTGATGGGATTGATGATGAGGGAACCGTCCTTGCGTATAGTGACGCGTGTCTCCAGGGCGGCCACCTCCCGGACGAGGGAGCCCTCCCGGTACCAGCGCACCGTGACATTGCCGGGCATCGCCTTAGCCTCGCAGGAGAATATCACTTTGTCGCCCTCGATTTTGGTTTGGTTGGTCGGTGGCACCTGTACACGGGAATGGACGATACACACGGAGCCATGAGTATTTTAGGATTTCCCAAACTGGGTAACGAACTGCAAACTTATGACGGTTGACTGTGGACTGTTGACTGTTTCGACTAATTCAAATCATGAGGCCATGAGGGGAGAAGCCACTACCTACTACCACTACCCCCTACAACCCTCTCTCTCGGTGTATCCCTTTGGAGCCTGGAGCTTGACAGCTAATTTTTGGCTGTCGCCGTCATCGATATATATCCTTGTGCATTCGCGATCCCGAGAAGTAACGTTTCTGCTGTCACGACTATGACATTTCCCCTCGGCTGGCTGGCTGCCATTGACAACTTGTCAGTCAACTGTCAGGCAGCCGAATATAACCAGACCAGGACCCCCTTTTTGCCCTCCTGTGTGTGTCCTGGTAATTGCATGAGTGCATTCTCAAACTCAGGTTTATTTAATGGGAACGCTTTGCTTTCGGGCAATTTGCCGGCAGACTGTTTCATTTGAATTAGTTTTAGTTATGGCCCAAAGTTGATGTGGGTTCTGGGCCCGCAAATTGAATTGGCCTGTTCCTATGCCTTTGCCTTTGCCTTTGCCTTTGATTTGGCTTCGACGTGGACTTTGACTTCCATTTGGGTTCTCCCTTGGGCAATCTATATTAAATGTCCACTTTGCCTGCGGCCAGATAAATGTTATTGCAATATTTATGGCCAAGATTGCTGCAAAATGGTTGAGCGGTAATTGAAGCACGAGCTGTGTGCGCCATTTTCACTCTTTAGCTAAGGCTTTGGCCTCTTCGACCTGCCTCTCTCCTCTCTCCTCTTCGCTCTTGTTGGCCTGAAAAGCTCGCAAAAGGTCAAAGTTCAAGCGCTTCAAGACGCCAGCAATTTGTGCTGTGTAGAGGTAGACAGGAAAGGCAAAAAAACGGAAGGATTTTTGCACTGAGATTGAAAATTTCCAATAGAAGTGTTGAGTATTTAGTTTGATTATTGAAAAGGAGTTTAAATTGGTTGGATATATGAAGTTTTTAATGTTTTGTTTGCTTCTTAAAGTTGTAATTAAACTGTTTTTTGAGGTAAAAATAGGCTTGTATTCAAGGGTTTTTTGCTACTTAAGTTGGTTTGACTTTAAACTAATTGTTATTCCATATATTTATGGTATTCAAATCATTATTATAATAATATGTATTTAATTCCCCCATAAATATTTCTCTCAGTGCTGGCTTAGGGTGCTTCTCCTGCAGCTGCAGCTAACTGTAAATAACCGAAATGCAAATGCATTAGCGGGCGCGCACAAAAGTGTGCTATACATAGCGAGGCAGACGAGGACGACGAGGACGACGAGGACGACGAGGACGACGACGACGACGGCAACGTCGAGCACACACAGGCACACTTTGCCCCCGGAGTGAGCTAGCTACAATCCTGCCAGGACCTCACGAAGGCATGTGAGCTTGCCTCTTGTATGCTGGCTGTAAATAGGGGGATCTGCCTCAGACTAGGCGAATGACCATGTCAAGTGTACTAGCAAGCGGGGAGTTTCTGTGCTTTTGCTGTTCTGTTTTGTTGTGTGTGTATTGTGGATTTGGTGCATGGAGGGAGGAGCATGTAAATACGGGCCGACACACACAAAAAGTTGCCACGCTTTTTATGGACTGGTGGAAACCGGAATCCATGGTACCCAGGATCTGGACATGCTTTGGTCTGGTGATTTCTGAAGCCGTTGGCCGCTTTTGCTCTCCAAAAATCGCACAGCCTCATCGAAAGCCCTTTTCAGTGATTAGTTTGCTGTGAATGAAGGAGGTGGAGCAGCATCCAGGGTTAATGGGAAAGCACTGAACTGGTTATGCGAAATGCAAAATGCAGAATGCAGAATGCCAGGATGCTGGAGCGAGAGATGCGAGCGGATTTGCAGAGTTTTCTTTTGGGAACTTACTCGGATGGTCAGCCTCTCATTGACGGCATTCGATTTGGATTTGGTGCGAGTGTGTTTATCGGACGCCGCCTTATCCTAAGTGGAGGGGATTTCAGGGTTCAGGGTTTAATGGGTAAAGAATAAAACTAGGTATTAGTAACCCAGGCTAAAGTTCAACCTTTCCCCTTGTTCCCAAGGCCAATGCTTCCCCTAGCTGCTACACAGGACAACTTTTGCTCCCCTCTTATTTTCCAACCCCCAGTAGTATTCTTTTTTGAATTGCTAACCAAGTAAGGAATTATCTCGCAAAAATTAAGTGATTTGTATTAGGTTTTTACCATGATTACAGCGCCGCCCGCGATTATAACACGGGCCGTATGGGAGACTTGTCCCTCACCATTGCGTGCAATGCAAGTGTACTCTCCAATGTCCTCGTGGCGAATGGTGGAGATCCGCAGCTCGGTGCCATCGTTGAAGATGCCCACCGTGGGTGAGGGATCAACGGGATTGGCATCCTTGTACCAGAGTATTTCCGGCGTTGGTGTGCCGTCGGCCTGGCAATTGAGTATAATTGAATCACCTGCAAGGAAATGTGTGTGAGAGGAACGTAGAGATATAGAGAGTGAGGAATTAATAAGGTAAATGGTGGCAATTGTTACGCTTTTTGGTTTCAAGAAGGACGAGGAGAAGGAGGAGCAGGAGCAGGAGCAGGAGGCTTTGTGCCTTTTGTCCTTCGTGGCAGACAATGGGGCCAGGCTGGCTCTTTGTTGCAGTTTCTCCCACAGCTGCTGCCATCGCCTCACTGGTCCCGTTGTTCTCTCAGTGTCTCTGTGTGTGTGTTTGTGTATTTGTGTTTGTGTGATTTATGCGCTGCAGCGCCATTTTCCCTCAACGCATTTCCGGCGTTGCGAGGCAGCCATTGTTTTCTGCTATGGCATCTCCGGAGCCATGCCACTTGGACTTGTAAACATTTTAACTTTGATAAAGCGACGGAAATTTGATTTGATGCGATTGCAAACATAAAGAGCTTATCGATTTTTTTTCTTTTTCTTTTTGGGGCAAAGGGGCCCGAACCTCTTTTCATTCAGAAGATGACAAATGCGAGGCCATAACTCCTGCTCCTCCGTCTCCTGTGGGAATAAGTTTCAAGGTGACAAACTCATTCGGGGAGCTGCAACAAATGGCCGGCCATTTGACACACTCGAAAGTGGGTCTCCACTTAATCTGTCGCAGCAGCAGAAGCAGTTTTCTTACCAAATATGAGAAACAGTGTTCCTCTTATTTATGACCCCGCGATTTATCAGAGGGAGAGAGGGAGAGCTAAGGGTTTGAACTCACCTAAATTAACGTATATAATATCCTCTGGCGTAACACTAAAGCGCGGCGGTGCATGTACGTCTAAGTGGAACCATGTACCGTTCTTGTGCTGCTTGGGGTCCCGGTTGAGGAAGACGACCTTGCACTCGTACCAGCCCTGGTCAGACTCCCGGATGTTGGTCAGGTTGAGCGAGGCGGAGCCAAAGGGCGAGTCCTGCGACACGCGGGACACGCGTCCCTTGTAGCCCTCCTCGATGTGCTCCGGATAGCTCTCATACCAGATGTATATGGGCAGATCGGAGCCCTAACGTAGGATATGATGGTTGTATATAGAAATATATAGTTGAATACATTAGTCTTTCAATTTAATGGTTTTTTTGCGATTACGATAAGGTTAACTAGGTTGATTCTTGATTCTTGGTCTGTCTGGAATGCGTTATAATGCATGGAATAATGTGCCATGACATTTTGTACATACGACACGATTTGTACGCCTCGACTTTGTTTACGGGGTTACATGGAAGACAAAATGAATGAATAAGATGCAAGAATAAATAATATTAATTGTTTAATTTGCTGCTATTGCATCTTATTCATTTATTTCGCCTTTTGGTTACATTTACAAGGTACACAGACACAGTTTAGTGGATGGCCTAGGGCTTATGATTCGATTTGAATGAGTCGCGATTTGGTTTATGTACAGTAGAGAGCAGGAAGTAGGAAGATTCTAGTTCAATATTCTGATACCTTTTCCATTGAAAATGGTTTGCATGAAGTTTAGAAGCTTCCCACTTCCAACTAAAGTGTGTGCTTACTCGCTAAATTCATGCAAAGAGACAAGCTTAAACACTAAACATTAAAATCTAAGCTGTCAGGCAGGTGCAAACATATACAAAAAGAGAGGAAAAACATTAAAAAAATACGGAAAAATATGAGAAAAATAGTGTGGGAAAAAAACAGATTAAACTGCGTACGCTAATCGGGAATTCTGGAAACTTTCGCGACGACGACTACGGCAAACAACTAACAACTGTCACAAATAAATTGAGTTGCGACAGCCCCAGGGGCAGGACACGGCATAACTGTAACTGTGACTGCCACTGTGTGTGTGTGTGTGTGTGTGTTGTCCTTGTAAAAGTAAAATCTACAAAAACAGTCAAAACAAAAACTCATCACGTTAACGTGAAGAAATTGCGCTGCCGCATGGTAAACAAGCCCAGCAACAAACAAGCAGCCAGGCAGGCACACACCATACACACACATCACACACACACACCATACACACCACACACACACACACACACACACATAGTCACACATTTTCACTGTCAACACAACAAAACTCCCCAGATCCTGGGCTCAGCGCCTGCCCCCGTCAGCAGCCTGCAAGCTCATCAACAGCCGGAGGAAGAATACACACAACACACCACACACACTACACACACACTACGTAGTGTGCCAGGGACACACGCTGGCTGGCAACAATAAATCATCTGTATCTGTATCTGTGTATCTGTGTGGCAACTAAAACAACGAGGGCCAAAGAGATACATTTGAAATTCTAGCTTGTGCTGATAAAAAATGTGCATGTAAAATATTTCGAGAGGGGTGAAGGCAACAGAAATTGGGGTTAACCTGCACACAAGTTGCCTCCCCCCAATGCCCCATGCCCCATACCTCTACCAGTGGCATATCTAAGCCCTTGTGTGCAGCTTGGCCTTTTGTTTATTTTATTCGTTGCAAGAGAGGGACGAGGAGGATGCATTGAACCGAATGCATTTTGGATTCGAATTCTTTCGCATGACCAGCAGCCCGACCAAAGTCTGGCCAAGCATTAAAACTGAGCCGGGGCAGCAGGTCCTGTGAGGAATAATAATAAATACTCAGAGGAGAGAGAGAGAGAGCGAAGGGGAGCCATAATTGCGTATACATAAATAATTGGTAAGCAAATTGCTCATACGCCATGTTATCCCCAGCCAAAGCTAATCGATTTATTCCCTTAATTAGACGAGAGAGGCAGGCAGGCAAAGATGGGTGATAGGATAGGCTGTGTCGCTTATTAAAACTTATAGACGTTTTAATAACTTCCTCGGCTGACGTATGAAATAATTTGCTTTGGCAGGAGCACAGGGACACACACAGAGGATACACAGAGGACACACAGGATACACAGTAGAGGCAGACATCCCAACAGATAGACAGAGAGTGGGAGGCCCAGGCTCTGTCCTGGGCCCCGAAATTAATATTCGCACTCGCCGAGAAGCGTCATAAGTTGGCCTCGGCAAACATTTTTCCGCTTAATTTATTCAGTAGCAATTAATTTAGATTGCAACTAAGGCAACGCGACGCCTCACGCCCTCATTTCCATCTTCTCTTGCCTCCTTTTTTGCTCCTTGCTCTTTAAAGATAGAAAGTAGGCAGCATTTAATGAATTTTCCCAAAAGATACGCGACGAAACTGATGAAACTGGGTCTTTTATGAGGACAGCAAATGCATGTAATTACTTCTGGGGGGAAGGGGAGGAGAGAGCAAGAAATACGAGCTCATAAATTAAAAGCTAAAGCCATGTTAATCCCTTTAATTCGACCATTTACGAACTGTCCTTTTGCTTTCCTCTCTCTGTGTGTGTGCAATTGCCATACGTTGGTTTTTATCGCAACAAAACATAAACACACACACACTTTTTTTTCTCGCCGTACTTATAACTTTGTTTTGGCATTAAAATTGCTTGTAAAACTTTGAACTTTCGGCGCAAAAACACACACAAAAAGCAAGGAGGAGAGGCGACATTATCTACACACTGACTGCATTCCGCAGGACAGTCGTGACTTTGAAGCCTCCTTATCTAGAAAGCACTTCCACTGTATTATCCCTGCGGTTTTTCTCAGTTCTTCCTTGGCTGCAGCCAAAAGGAAAGTTAGGCGTGCTTGAAATTATGGAAAGTAAGCTGTTTGAGGTCGAGGGTCAGGTTCAAAGGAGAGCTTGCACTTGAGGTTGCCCACGTTAGTTGGCTTCGTCAAAGTTTTTACTACTAAGCATGCAGAGAAAGTCGGGGAAATAATTGGATTACGTTACATTTGCAACAAATCAAAATAAAGTTGAATGAAAATGGTGAACGATAAAGAGAGTTGGGACAGAGTGTGGGTAGAGTGAGTGGTTGTGCTCTATGTGTTGCGTATCTTTGATTGGAATAAAATTTTGCTTATCCTACTGGGAATTCGCAGTGGCAGAAGTCAGTTTAAAAGTCAGCTGGAAATATGTCACTAGCTGACATTGGTCCAGAAAAGTTTTCTGCCGCTTATCTCCATGGAATTCCTGGAAAACTGGCAAATTCCGAAACTCTCTTTATCTGTGTGGCTCTCAACTTGGCCAAATATTAGCATATTTTCACAAAACTCGACGCGACTTTGGCCACTGTTTTGGGGAGGGGTGTATGTTCATTGGGGGGTGCTCTGCTGATGTCTAATTTGATTTCAATATATATATATATTTATATAGAAATTGTTGCTCGTTGCTATGAATAGTTGCGGCTAATTGTTGGGGTATTTTGCATGGATGTTGGGATGGAAATTGTCTGCGACTTTTTCAGTGTGTGTTCGTGTGTGTGTGCTAAGCTATATAGATTTTGTTGGTGAATTGCGAACGAATTTCGATTTGATTTTGATTTGCAAATGGAATTTCATTTTCATCTCTGGGGATGTGGAATGTGTGGAAATTTTTGTTTGGTTTTTATATATTTTCGACTGCTTTCTTCTCTTTCGCTCTCTTTGGTTTGGTCGGGATCTCCGGGTGCTGTGAAGCCCGGTTCCTTCAAATTGACAAATAATTTGATTAATTTTCATCTTTTTCGTATTTATCTCGATTTGCCGCAAAAATAATTTCGGAATAAGAGTATATATATATATATTCTGTGTGTTGTGTGTGTGTGTGTGTGTGTGTGTGTTAAGGGAGGTAGAATAAAAGCCAGCTCTAAAGATAATATATAATCCAAGATGAGTAACGCCAGGGGATTTTTACTCATCTTGCAGCTTATATTATCTTTGGAGAGCTTTTCTTCGGTTTTTTGTTCCGGGTGATTGATCGGGCATCGTCCTCCGGTATCTGCCGGCCGGAGGATATATAGTTAGAGATACTGATTGGAATGACAATGAGAGTACTGGAACTGAGGAAAAGCATAAAGGCAAAAAATACCAATCGGGCAACACATAAACACATACACACGAGTACAATCAATCTCAAGCTATATGGTACGAGTTATGATATATATTAGTATCTGTAGCGGGCAATTATTTCATTTATCGGATCAACTCAAACACAGAATTTGAAGCTTGAAGCTCATAAAAATGATTAACAAAACCGAAAGCGAAATGAAACAACTCAGGCTGAGTAACTGAATGGGGTAAGAAAGGCTCATATATATATATATGAAGTATAGAGTATAGCTGAGAGAGAACACTGAATATAGAGGGGTATATATATTTTTTTGGGAGGAGTACGAGGTTGTATAGCTGGTATATATATTTCATATATTTCGGTTTTTTGCTGGCGTGGGTCTGTCTGTTCTCGTGACTCGAGACTGTTTCTTACTTTTTTTTCTTGCTTTGTTTTTGCGTATCGGAACAACAATGTAAAAAGAGAGTTTAGAGAAGAAATGTTAACTGTGATATCGTACCGTTTCGCTCACCTTCTTGTCCCACTGCAGGACATATGGCACGGGATGGTCGTTGGGGAACTCCACATGGCAGTTGAAGATGACGCCCTCGCCAAGTATGGCCGTAATGTGAACGGCATCTTCTGTAAAGTTGAAAGGGAGAAAAAAGTGGTGAGAAAATATAGCAGATATTTGTTACTCGGGGAATCGAGAACCGCAAGGATTCGTCAACGTGATGCGCTCATAATACGGCCAATTCCGCAGCAAAAGCCACAGCCATTCGCAGTTGGCCTTCTCTCTGCCCTCGTTATTGCTTTTCTATTTAGACGTGACATTCAGCACGATTTACGTGGCCCCGTCAAATGTCATCCTTGTACCTTCCTGTCCTTTCCCGCATCCTGACTGGGATAGGGAGTGGAAAACTAACATGCCAGGGGTTACTTTTAAATGGATTTGTTGATGGCTACGTCGGTCACATGTCAAGTGCTGGTCATTGACTGATGTTTTCTCTCCTCCCCAAATCCACCCAAGGGACCAATAGCTGACCCGGCTTCCATTTTGGTTCTGAATCAGTTATCCGCCATTGAAGAAGGTCTGTGACTTGTGCCGGACTCGGGGAACTATTGATAACTATGGGTTTATGTATATATATATGCACCGGAATGCAATCATCCGTCACTGGGAGAAATATATTTTGTAGCTTTAATTAATGATACTAGATTTGAACAGATATTAGCTATGATTGCGGATGTTTGCCTTGAATAAATCGTGTGAAAATTGATTGTATTTTAAGATATTGGGGTGCCTTTACAAATTTGTTAAAATAACAGAGAAATGTACAGAGTTTAAGGATTAAGGTCTTCAGAAGAACACAGTAATTGGATCGTAAAGTCATATTGAAGTCAGTATTTAAAAACCGTAAGAGATTACTTTTAATACAAAACTAGTTTAGTTTTTATAAACTTTGATATAAACTTAGACTTGCAATACATGTTTCCTTAGTGAGCACCTTCCTAGAATAACCATCTTGTTTGCTTCTGTTATAGTTAGATCTTAATAAGGGTTTAGTTTGATTTGCCTAATACTACATCCTTATATCCTTGTTATACATCGATTTTCCCTCACTGTGCTCTCTGTGATTGACAAAATAAACTTGCTTTCCACCTTTTCAAATGTCGTCGTGACATTTCATTAGCGTTTGTCACTGAGTCTCTGAGGTCAAGAGGGTGGCACCTGGAAGGAACCAGTGTGGGGCGACTCTTGACAGGCGCTGATTAGGCTCCTTGTTGCCGCTGCTTCCAGCTTTGATGGACGCCTCATTCCGAGGTGCCAATGTGCCCCAACATTATTTATGTATGCAACACCCACAGGGGTTCGAAAGAGAGGGAGAGAGGGTAAGAGCAAGAGAGAGAGAGAGAGCTTTTCTGAACCGTTGACATGGTCAGCCAGGCTGAAAATTTCGTTTACAATTGGAGCAGAGCTCAAAGCTCGGCAAGCGGTAACGGAAATGCAAATGAATTGTCGGAAACAGGAGCAGAAGCATCAGCATCAGCAGCAGCAACAACCGCAGCAGGCGAGGAGCAATCCAATAAGGGAGCATATCCGGTTACACACACACATGATGAAGGAACACACACACACAACTTGAAGATGCCATGGAGCTGCAGCTGATGCTGCTGGAAATAGGACCCTGGTCCTGGCATGACACTAAACTTGTTAACAAACAACTTCTGACCTGCCCAGAGCACATGCGATTGAGCCGAGTTTGTGAGAGGAGGCATTGTATCTGTATCTCTGCATCTGTATCTTTGTATCTGCATCTGTGTCCCAGCTGTATCTGTGTCGGTAATAGGGTTAGGCAAACGACCAGCGTCCGAAGCTGGCAAAACTGGCCTTGATTGTCCGGACAAAACAAAAAAAAGAAATCAACCTAATGCGTTTTGCATTAATTCCTTAGCCCAATGGAGAGCAGGAAAATGAAGAAAGGCCCGAGACAAGTCCTCGTCCTGGCTGGGACTCTAGCCACATGACGTCTTTGTTGGCCAGGAGGCACTCAACCAGTCAGTCACTCATCCTCATCCTCATCCACATCCTCTTCCTCATCAAACATCCAGCCAGCAGCTGGCTGTCTCCCTTTCTCGCTTTATGCACTGCTCGCTTGTTGACTTTGGCATTTGCATAAATTTATGTTAACTTGGCCAGCTTTGGCAGACTATTTGCATCGCCACTCAGCCGCCGCTTACTGCTCCCGAAAAAAGTAAAATAAAATAGGGAAAAACAACATCAGGAGCAACACAAAAACAATGACGACAACGACTATAATGGGGTAGAGAATGAATGATGATGATGTCGGAGTGTATAAACAGAGAGAAATGGGTACAAAAGGCTAATTTACTGGAATATAAATTAAATAATATTAACTGGGCATTTCAATTTTGAAAGATCTAACTATTTTAGTTAAGAAATAATAAGAAAATATTGAGAACATGGTAACTTTTCAGATATAAAATATTATGAACCTTTCATTGATTAAATTATGGTAGCATTAAACTTCTCTCTAGCTTTATGGTAATCCTAAGCTAAAACCCCAACTATAACCCATTGGAACTTAATTTAATTTAATGTAATTCTCTCTCTGTACACTCTCTGATGTACTTATGCGTCTATTGCCCTTTGATAATGTTGCAGACATGTCGCCTGTGACCTGCCAAGTACTCGAGGGTAGCAGCAGGAAGTGAGAGGAAGCCAGGATGTCAGAGGAATACCCGCGTGTGTCGCGCCTTTTGATGGCGTTAACATGCAAAAGTGGTTTCATTATTCCATTTAGAATGTCCTTCAGCCAAAGGCAGACGTTTCCACTCCTCAATTTCCAGCCAAAGTCCTCATCCCTCAGCCATCTCCAGCAGAGCCACTTGACACGAGTTTTTGGCTTGAGTTATTCAGCGAAGCGCACTTTGTTTTCATTGATTAAAGTCGCTTTCTAGGAACTCATTTCAGCGCCTTCTCAACCGACCGACTAAAACTCAAAGTTGACCTTTCGACCGTGCCAGCAAAGTGGCCATCGCCTCGAAGGAATCTCAAGCGGTTTTTCCAATTTTCGGCTAAATTAAATTGAATTAATTCACTCGACGGGCGTCGTCGTCGACACGGTACATTGGGCGGAGCCAGTGGCAACTTTTAATGTCCTCCGGAAGCAGGAAGAGTAGAGGGAGAAGCCTATCAGGAAATGGAACAGAGCACAAGATTCGAATGGGGGTCCAGACCATTGAATTCAGGGAAAACTCGAAGTGAAATGCCAAGCATCTAGACAGGTTCTTCGAAGGGCAGTTAACCCAAGGAAATGCTCCTCTTGAATGTCAAGTACATAAATCTCTGGGCCACATTTCTCTTTATAGAATTTTATATATTTTATGGAGCCAACAAAGGGCTTTCCTTTTCTGTACTCTAGTTGGTATAGTAATATTACTACTTTTTAGCAAAATTTTCATGCCATTCAAATAAATTCAATTACTTTTTGACCCCTTTTTTTCGCCGCATAAAAATCAACCAAATGCCTAACTAAAAGCTATACTCCAACTCTACCTCCATTGACCACTGTCCAGTGCCCTTTTCTGTCTACTAATTGCCAAATGTAATCAGCTTTGGCCTCACGTAAGCCGCTTATTGTGCGCCATTAAATTTTCCGCCGAGCATCGTACAAAAAATCAAGTAAACTTGGTCCACACATGCGCTTAGTTTTTGGGTTTTTTTTCACCTCTCCTCGGCAGGGATAGATATATTTTTCAAACCAAAAATAGTGCAAAGAAAGAGGCAAAGCGTTTATCATCGATATTTTCCAATAAAACTTTGGGCTTTCCAGCGATTTGCTGGGAAATTTAATTAAAAGCCCGCGACTGCACTCACCTGGTATGTTGTGCGCCTGTGCATCTTTCGCCAGAAGGGCCAGCAACGTGACCAGCACAAACTGGAGCACCTGGGCGGTGGAGCAGGTGAACCTGTGACTGGAGCTGGGAATGTCCCTTCGTCGGCGTCTTCTCCTCGTTGTTTTCACTGTGAAAGCTGCCGTTTTCGCTGGCGATGCCGTCAGCGTTTCGGTAGCGGGAATCGTTGTTGTCGCGTCAATCGCTGATCCTGCTGATCCTTCTCTGAGCTGGGAATGCTGCTCCTGGAACTGGAGCTGGGACTGTGACTGGAGCTTCTTCGGTTGCTGATGCTGGGTGTGCCGGCTCTGGCTCTGGCTCTGGCTCAGTGCCCGACACCATCGATGAGACCCAAGGTCCGCGCACACGCCCATGCCTCTGTTCCCATAGTCAACGCCGCCGCGCTCCTAACGTATCCTTCTCACTTGCAGTGGCGTCATCTGGAAAGAAGGATAAAGAAAGGGGTGGGTAGAAGTTAGAGGGATCTGCGGCAAATGTTTCCATCAATGAAAATGCGAACGCCTTGCATTCGCACCTGGTTGCACTTGATGAAGCTGTCACATCCCTTCAGCCATCATCCATCAGCTGTCAGTGTCAGAAGCATCAAGTGCCAACAGAGACATCCTTTGGGAGGAGGAAGCTCTCTCCCTTGTACCCAATGCATTTTGTGCAAGAGTCAAGGGAAATATTTGGTAGTTATTAAAAGCTGTTCAAAAACCAAAGAAAGTAAGGCAATTACTTTGCCTAGCCTAGGTTATTTTGTCAGTTCTTTAGAGTATCGAAAGCTGTTCTGAGTAAACTACATTGTAATTCTTATTTAATTACAAAATTAGCCTCTCAATTTACATTTTAACTAGATTAAAATATTTATAAATAGTTATATATAGAAGTAGTACCCACATTCCATCACTGTCCTTTGTCTTCTTGGACTTCCCCCAAAAATAAAGTATAAAGGCAACTTTATTGCCAAAGGTAAACCTTATCGACAGCCCAAAATCTTGGACAAACTCAAACAGCGTCCTTTCTAAGGACTGTTGACAAATTAATAAACAAAAGTTTTCCATTTCAACACTCGTCCTGGAGCACACACCCCAAGTTGGCGCACACACACGTCCGTAAAATTAAGCAGCTAATATGTTGTAGCTACAACTGATAAGGACACCACTTAGCAGATTGAGAGGAGGACACGGACTCCTTCCTATACAAATAGAGCAAACTTTTCGCTGTTGTTTGGCAATAAAACTTTGCGTTTTAATGTAAAACTCGTGTTTGGAGGAGACTCACTTGTCTGGCAAATAACACACAGAGCAAAGCCGCGGGCTCTATTGTCTCGGATAGTTTTTGAAAGAAGATGGGGCCAAATTTTTGGGTCTAACTTGGGTACCATTGCAGTTAATTGAATTGGCATCCCAGCGAATTTTATCACTTGGCCGCAGGTATTCCAAATGGTAGAACAAAAAGCCAGAAAATGTGATTTTAATTAAATTATTTGGAATGCTTTAAGCGGAATTTGTCTCTGTCTCGGTTTTTGCCACGTAATATAAGCAGGCGTCGTAAAAGCTACCACACCCGCACAACAAAGCCACACACGCACACACAGGACGTATTTTAAATTGCAAGCCAGGCATTTTTGTAACGATTTTCATTCCTGTAAGAGGGGAGAGGGGGAAAAACAGCCCACAGCTCACCCCCAATGTTGTCACTGCAATTAAGTAACTCGAGCAAAGCTCCAGCTTCAGGGATGAGGGTCCTGTGTGTGTACAGGAAAGTTTCGTGGCTGACAGAGCTGTATAAACGTCATTAGTGCCATTTTAATGCATAACTTAATACATCCGGTGATAGAGAGAGAGACACAGAGAGAGGAAGAGGAGTCCTTGTGCGTTGAATTTAATCCTTTTTGGCATGACATGTAAAATTTTAATAACGTCAAGGTTTCTGTGCGGAGCGTTATTAAAAGTTTTTTTATTTTTTGCTTTGCCCCAGCCCCACCATTATGACAAGTTTATTAAAACGAAATTTATTTATAGAGCGCACTCAAATCCCTTAGCGTCCTGATTCCTGCCCCCTGCTTCCTACATCCTTCCAACCGCATCGAAACTAAAAGGCCCGAGCAGGGAGCGGCAAAAATCGCATTAAGTGTGCGGTGGTATTCCTCGTCCTGTGCACTGGCAACTAAAATAGAACAAAGGCCGGAAAAATGATTTCCCTTATGGCTGAATTTTCATTACCGAAATGCCCGCCATGGCGTATGATTTCATTTGTAAATCAGCTCAAGGGGGCTGCTCAGGACCCGGACAGGACAGGGGCCAAACAATGACAAATCAGCAAACGAATTGCATTTGCTGATACAACCAGGACGAGCTGCCAGGCTGCCAGTCGGGCTAAGGATGAGGGACAAGGACCTCCTGCACTAAATCAGTTGATTGGTTCGCCTCCTGTCCTGCCTCCCTTCCTGTGTGTCCTAGTGTTTGTTTTTGTGGGCGGTGTGCCATGAGACCCATAACTGAATTGTCATCGTCGGCCACGTCGCTGTCATTAAAATGTGTGTCCTGGCCCCGTAACCCGTAACCCGTGATATGTCCCTCTGTCATTCAGCCATCTATCTAGCTGCTGCCCTTCGGACCAGCATTCGTCAGTTGAACCGCTGCACATTTCCATACACTAGGAGAAATTCTTGTATATAGTTTTATCTCTTTTAAGAAGTATTTACAACTTTTATGCTTTAAGGAAACTCCTAAGTTCTTGTTAAATAAGAAAAATTAAATTCACCACTTATTTTGTCAGACATTTCCCCTGCAAAAACTCTTCTCATTTTCTCTCAGTGCTGCTTCCCTCTCTCTCTCTCCCTCTCTCACTCGGAAAGCTGCCTCGCATGGCGGCCATTTTATTTTCTGGCCGTGCGGTGGCAGCACTTTATGGCATCCGTTTCCGCTGCCGCCATCGCTGCTGCTGCTGCTGCTTTTTGGTTGGCTGCACACACGGCACACAGGATTCCGGCATATACAGCCACCGCATCGGAGATGCGGATCTTCCTTCCACGGCAGCTACTTGGCGCTCATTTGCATTACGTTCTGGGGATTGGGTATGGCGGACGATGCCTGATGCCTGCTGCCTGCTGCCTGGCGCTTTTAATTAAAAACCCTCGCTGGCCGGACGGGAACCATTCCCATTTCCATTCTGAAAAGCCGCAAATTATTTTCACTTGGCCCGCCGCACACACGCACACACATGGAGGAAGGAGGAAGGACTCACTGGCTGACCTCTAACCCCTTAGCCTTTTTGGCTCCAGAAACTAATTAAGCATGTTGTGAGCAACAACTTGGGAACAAGACTGGGCCACGCCCCAAAAACCACAGCTCATTGCACTTCAATAAAGGCGAGTGCCGCCTGGAGTCCAGGATCTCCAGGATCTCCCAAGCTCACTACTTCACGGTCTTGCTGCCACACCCCAAGACATTTCGACAGGGACTTGAATGTAAGGCAAGAGTGTGTGTATATTGGGGTGTGTGTGGCACAACAACAAATTTAACAACTTTTGCACATTGTGCGAGGCAAAAGGAAAACGTTTCACGTACAAGTTTTATATATTTTACAGAGGGAAAAATAAAATAAAACGAGGAATAAGTGTTGTAGAAAGTATATTAAAGATAAAGTTTAGGATGAATATATCTTCTAAATACTTTTAAACTCTAAGATATTTCTTTCAAGGTATTATTAAATAGTTTTTAAGTTTAATTTCTCTCTGTGCAACATCTCAGCGCAGCGGGGGTCTTGGAATGTGTGTCCCTTCTGCTGTTTTCTTCGTTTTCTTACTATTTTTTTTTTTAGTATCACTCATACGCCGCATAGTACGCCCTGAAACTTTAATGAAATGGAACGCCCTTCTCATTCCTCCCGCCGTCCCTCTGCTCTACATTTGGGCAATGAGCCCCTAGGCCAGCCCTTCGTAAGCTTGTTAGCGAAACAGAGAGGACCTGAGACCTGAGAGAGAGAGGAAGAGAGACCCCGAACCAGATGTAGGACAACGGCAGAACAATGAGCTCCTCCCAGCATCAGCTCCTTGACAATCCTTGGCTCCGTTTTTGGAGCTGTGGCCATTGGCCATACAACATCCTTGGCCAATTTCAAACGATGTTCCGCGAGTGCCAGATAGGGGCCATAAAGCGAACAGCTATCACTTAATCTAATGAGTTTCTACCTTACCTTCCCCAGGCTTTCCCAGTTTTCCCAGCGATTCCCAGCTTTTCCAAGCTTCTCCACCTTTCCACCGCTGGCAATTAGACGAAGAATATGGCCAGTCCGCCTCTGTTTTTGGGTCTCTTAATGGGAGGGCGTGTGAGAGGTAATGTTCAAAGTTTTGAAACAGGCAGGCCAAGTCAATATATCATTAGGCACTTTGCCTTTTAAATGATCTGAAAAATGCGGCCAAATGGACTACAGACTCCAGACTGCGGAGCATGCAAAATGGCCAAACGAGGAGACCGGACCGACCCCGGCCATTGTACAATTTTAATTGCTCTAAAATGCTGTAATACAACACGAACCACAAATAAATAAAATTTGCTGACATCAACAGGATGTTTGCGGGTTCCTGTCCAGCCAGGACCTGGACAGACAAAAGCCTTGGGTGGCCAGTAATGGGCCTCCTAATGGTGGGCACACGGACGGGTCTCCGGGTCTCAGGAAATGAGGCGACGAGCATGAGGGTCGTTTTGTGCTTTTTTACATTTGTGCTTTTCATTTAGTTTTCACTTTCTTATCAGCGAGACATTGCGCAATAGCAATAAGCAACCTTTTGTAATGGATTGTTGCAGAGGCATATTTATTGGCCATTGTTTGGGACCAACTCTCTCTCCCTCATGACCAGGCACAATTTCCTGTGATGATTCCCGCTTATTCGTTTTACAATTTCACCCAAAAATAAGTTGACGCTTTGAAGCAATTAAATTCTTAATAATATTTTTGGGGAAGTGCAGAAAACTTTCCTGACTCCACAGGCTGCAAGTTTTTCCAGCGAAAATATATAGAAAACTAAAAGGGGGTCAGCTTGGGGGCGTCCGAGCAAAAGGAGGCCTGCAAAGAAAAGTCAGGGAAAAAGGCAGCGAAACTTTTATGCTTGATGCTTAATTGCGGCATTTCGATTAAGCAAAATTAATAATAAAAGTTTGTGTTATTATTTATGCAGTCCCGAGCTGAGCAAAAGAGGGAATATCAAAGCGGGCAAAGCAAAGCGCGAGAAGAAAAAGGAAGTGAAAATTTAGCAAACTTTTCCATCTTTTCTTTTTCTGGCTTCACATAAATCCTGTAAAGTGCTTTGAAAAATAAAAGGCACAAAACTTTTTCCACCGCAATTCGATGGAGAAACTGAGAAGCTCGAAGAAGAACCGACCGTCTCTAATAACTGCAGACATGCGTGGCAGGATCCCTTCCCCTGATTACT